CCAGCTGCCAAAAAAAAAAAAAAATTGAGTAATTGTGGTCACTCTATGGACAATAAAGAAATGCCTAAGTAGGGAGAGGAAGCAGGGAGAAGGAGTAATTGGTAAAGGGACATGAAAATCAACTATACTGTATATTGATAAGTTAAAATACAATAAAATAAAAGGAAATGCCTAATTGAAAACAAAGTGCTGGCCCTTTAGCTCGGTTGGTTGGAGTGCCATCTTACAGCACCGTGAGTCAAAGGTTTGGATCCCCTCACTGGCCAGCTGCAAAAACAAACAAAAGTTAGTGGAAAAATAGAATTAAAATACAGTATGAATCTTTCACTGAATTTTTTGAAGTACCCTCGTATATACCATATTTTGTTTATCCATTCATTGGTGGATGGACACTGGGATTGTTTCTACCTTTTGGCTATTGTGAATAACGCTGCTATGAACATGGGTATAAAATAGTCTTTGAATACCTGCTTTCAATTCTTTTGCGGATTGTCTTATCCATTTTGTGCTGCTATAACAGAATACCTGAGACTGGGTATGTATAAAGAACAAAAATTTATTTCTTCATAGTCTGGAGTCTGGGAAGTTCAAGATCAAGGTGCTGGCATCTGGCGAGGGCCTTCTTGCTGCATCATAACATGGTAGAAGGGCAAACAGAAGGGGAGAGAGGGGGAGAATAGGGGAAAGAGAGATGCAAAAAAGGCCAAACACATCTTTTTTTTCTTTTTTCCATTTTGTCTTTTTTCGTGTCCGGCAACGGATCACAGCCCTCAGTGTCGCGCCCATACCGGACCGGGACCGGCAACGGGATTGCAACCCTCGGTGCTGCCCCCACACCTCGCTCAGCCAGTGAGCGGGAACCGGTCTGTATGTGGGATCCGAACCCTCAGTGGGAGCGCCACCGCGCTCCCAAGCGGCGCACTGTAGCAGTGCACCACCGGGCCGGCCCAAAACTCATCTTTTTATAAGGAACCCACGTCCACGAAAATGGCATTAACCCATTCATGAAGGCAGAGCCCTTGTGGCCTAATACTTCTTAAAGATCTTACCTCTTAATACTATTACAATGGCAATTAGATTTTAACATGATTTGGGTAGGGGAAAAACATTTAAACCATAGCAGGTATATACCCAGAAGTGGAATTTCTGGATAATGTGGTAATTCCATTTTTTATTTTTAAAAAAATAATGAAGTCAACTTATTTAATTTCACATTCCATTTGTATTTCAAAGCTTATGTATGAGGAGGAGACATAAAGAGGCTCAAAGAGGAGACATAAGCGTTTTAATAAAACCAGTTACATGAATCTATGAACCAGAAATGAGGTATATTAACCTCAAAGAGGCTCTAATATAGTAGAATATTAACATTGTGTGAGACTAGATAGTTATTCCATTTTCAAAGTTAGCAGAAATTTCTCAGATGTTATGATAGATAACTCTATATGCCTTGTAGATATTTATTTTACTTCCCTTTGGAAGAACAACTTCATTAAAGTAATAATACCTCAATAAAATACACAAGCCCAATTTTATACGAATATGTACTGGTAGCATAGGGATGAAAAGACATTTATTTTTAGGGACATTCCAGACCTTCACTAATCACCACTACTGCAAAAAGTATAAGTTTAGCGCTATAAGAAATAAAAAGCTGGGCCGAGCCCATGGCGCACTCGGGAGACTGCGGCTCTGGGAGCGCAGCAGCGCTCCTGCTGTGGGTTCGGATCCTATATAGGGATGACCGTGCACTCACAGCACTCACTGGCTGAGCGCGGTGCGGCAGGTCTCAAAAAGGACAAAAAAAAAAAAAAAAAGAAAAGAAATAAAAAGCAGCAGAAAATAGCCTATTTTGTTACATCAGGTTAGAATATTAGTAGTGAAATTTGTTTCATGAATTTTTATTTTTTATTTTATTTTATTTTTATTTTTTTAAAAAGATGACCGGTAAGGGAAAGGACAAAAAAAAAAAAAAAAAAAGAAAAGAAATAAAAAGCAGCAGAAAATAGCCTATTTTGTTACATCAGGTTAGAATATTAGTAGTGAAATTTGTTTCATGAATTTTTATTTTTTATTTTATTTTATTTTTATTTTTTTAAAAAGATGACCGGTAAGGGGATCTCAACCCTTGGCTTGGTGTTGTCAGCACCACGCTCAGCCAGTGAGCGAACCGGCCATCCCTATATAGGATCCGAACCCGCGGCCTTGGTGTTATCAGCACTGCACTCTACCGAGTGAGCCACAGGCCGGCCCAGTTTCATGAATTTTTAAATTGTGCAGATGTAATGAGAGGAACTAGATTTGTTGACACTATACAGAGTGATAACAAGAATATGTGGATACTTCAAAAAGTTCGTGGAAAAATAAAACAGAGATAATACAAATCTTTCCATGAACTTTTTGGATTACCCTTGTATTTGAATGGTAGGAATAAGTCCCATACATATACAGGACACTCAATAAAGAATTGTAGGATAGTACCTTCATCTAAGTAGAAAATCTTCAACATTTAGAACTTTGTCAGAAAAAAAGGATTTTTTTTTTTTTTAAAAAGATGACCAGTAAGGGGATCTTAACCCTTGACTTGGTGTTGTCAGCACCATGCTCACCCAGTGAGTGAACCGGCCATCCCTATATGGGATCTGAACCTGAGGCTTCGGCACCATCAGCACCGCTCTCTCTCAAGGGAGCCACAGGCCGGCCCTAGAAGAAAAGGATATTTTGGAAAAGGTAGATGGAACAGAAATCACAGTATATAAATAAAATGCCTTTGGGATATTATCTCCATGAAATCTCACCCAAATGTCTAAGTCACACTTAAAAACCTGGAATACCTCATATATGCATTGCATTCCTTTTTCATTTTTTCAACCATTTTTTCTTTTTCTTTTTCCTTTTTGTCTCTTTTTTACTTGACTGGTAACGGGATCGCAACCCTCGGTGTCACGCCCGCACCGGGGACCAGCAACGGGATCGCAACCCTCGGTGTTGCGCCTGCACCGCAGCCAGTGAGCGGGAACCGGTCTCCACATGGGATCCGAACCCTCGGCAGGAGCGCCGCCGCGCTTCCCAAGCGGTGCACTCTCCAGTGTGCAACCAGGCTGACCCTCAACCATTTTTTCAACAAATGTTTGTGCATCTATCCTCTACCAAGATTTTCCTTGAGTTTGTAGATTTAATGATGGACAAAAATGATAAAATCCCTTCCTTCTCAAAGCATATAATGATTACACACACACATATAAAATATATATACATATATACACATGTAACTAATAAATTTTTTTTTTTTTTCTAAGGGATCCAAACCCGGGGCCTTGGTGTTATCAGCACCGCACTCTCCCGAGTGAGCCACGGGCCGGCCTGATTTTTTTTTTTTTTTTTGAAGATGACCGGTAAGGGGATCTTAACCCTTGACCTGGTGTTGTCAGCACCACGCTCTCCCGAGTGAGCCATGGGCCAGCCCGTAACTAATAAATTTTAAGAAATAATTTATGTGTTATTATTTGATGCAAATAAAATAAAATGACAATAACAGTAAAATTACAAAATTTAGTGGAGTCAATAACAAATGATCTTAAATCCATTTAGGAAGTTAACACTGTTCTAAATACCTTTAAGAGGTAAAAGCAATAGTGGCAACTTCCTTGATTTAAAATAAAATCAATGCTAAAATTTTAATCTACTTAGAAATGATAGATGGTGTATGTATTAAAATATATGAGCTATTCTTAGAGTGGTAGTCAAATAAAAACGTGCATATGTAAATATATTTATTAGAATATGAGTAAGAAAATATATGCATTTATCAAATATTACTGTTAAATTATACAAATATTGAAAAATAAACTAAAACAAAGCAAAAGGGAATAATAAAGAGAATAGGAAAATAATTTAAAAACATATTAAAAGGAATATTAAATAAAATAACGCCACAGCTTGTGATTTTTGAAAGGCAAGTAAAATAGAAAAAAAGCATTTGGGATATACTAATGAGAAAGAGAGAAAATACTAGAACAACAGAAATGAAAAGTGGGATAGCATACAGATATAGAGAGCATTAAAATTATATACTATAGGGGATGGCCGATTAGCTCAGTCTGTTAGAGCATGGGTTGTAAACACCAAGGTCAAAGTTTCGAATTTCCGTACCAGCCAGCACCGCCCGCCCCCAAAAATAAACTTTAAATATATATGTATATTTATATTAAAATTTTTTCTAGATGTTACGTTGGTAGAACCCACAGGCTTTTGGCAGAAATGAACACAAATCCTCTCAATTTTATACCAGGCCACAAATATTCTCAAAGATAAAGTTCAGGAAAAATGGGTGGCTCATACTAAAACTGCACAAATCATACAAATAAACAAGGAATACAAGGTATATGTACACAAAGTTGTAAATGATGAACCTTTCTAACACAGATGACAAAATTCTACATATATTATGTTTAAGGTAATAAAAGATAAGCTCAAAATATGGGCCAGAATGAAGAAACTATAAAAAAGTAGATAGGGGTCTAATATAACTTCTTGAAATGAAAAACAAAAATTCAAAAAATTAAGAAACTGAAGATAGGGCCGGCCCGTGGCTCACTCGGGAGAGTGCGGTGCTGATAACACCAAGGCCCCGGGTTCGGATCCCACATAGGGATGGCCGGTTTGCTCACTGGCTGAGCGTGGTGCTGACAACACCAAGTCAAGGGTTAAGACCCCCTTACCGGTCATCTTTATCAGCACCGCACTCTCCCGAGTGAGCCACAGGCCGGTCCCACCGGTCATCTTTAAAAAAAAAAAAAAAAGAAAGAAACTGATGATTAAACAACATGGGCTATATATAATTAACAAAATAGACTTAAGGAGAGTATCTAGAATACAATCTAGAGAGAAAGAATAATATTCAATATGAAAGAAAGTTTATGTGACATGAAGAAAAAGTTACAAAATCTATTTAGTGTCTGATTAGTTTTTCTTTCTTTCTTTTTTTTTTTTTTGGTGGGTGGCCAGTATGGGGATCTGAACCCTTGACCTTGGTGATATCAGCACCATGTTCTAACCAGCTGAACTAACCAGCCAGCCCTAATTAGTTTCTTAGAAGAAGATAATATAAAAGAGGTAAGAGTACTTTTTAAAGAGGTAAGGCTGAAAATACTCCAGAACAGTTGGAGCATTTTTAGATTTGGAAAGACCAACTAATTGCAAGCAGAATGAATGAACAATTAAATAAACCAGAATCCCAAACTATTATTAACATAGTAAAACTGTAGAGCACCAAAGGTAGAGGATTTATAAGTAGCCAGTGGGTAAAAGAAGATGTCATAGGGCCGGCCCCGTGGCTCACTTGGGAGAGTGCAGCACTGGGAGCGCTGAGGCTGCAGGTTCGGATCCTATATAGGGATGGCCGGTGCGCTCACTGGCTGAGCGCGGTGCGGGCGACACCAAGCCAAGGGTTGCAATCCCCTTACCGGTCAAAAAAAAAAAAAAAAAAAAAAAAAGATGTCATAGAAAGGGCTTTTAACCTGACAACTGACTTCTCATCAGCAACACTGAAAGCCAGATAACCATGGGAAAATACCTTCAGTGTATTAAGTGAAAGTGCCTATTTACCAGCATTCTGTATATAATGATAACATTTTTTAAGAATGAAAATGAAATAAAAATATTTTATTTCTTTCTTCAGAAATAAAAATATTATTTTTATACAAAGAAAAACTAAAGTATTATACAGTCTACCGACCCTAACTGAAGAAAATTCTCAGACATTTATTCCACATGGGGAAATTATTCCATATGAAAGTTATGAAATATAAAAAAAGTCAGCAGTAATGGTACATAATTGCTTCCTTCACCAAATATCAAAGTTTTTGCAGTATAGATGATATTCCCTGACCATATTAGAATGAACTCAAAACAGATTATCCTTCAAAATTCTTTTTCTTTCTTTCTTTTTTTTTTTTTTTGTTACAGCTAGCCGGTATGGGGATTCAAACCCATGACCTTGGTATTACAACACAAAATTATTTTTCAAAGAAACTCATGAATCAATTAAAACAGAAAATAAAAATGCTATGAATTGAACAGTTGTGAAAATATTTAGAAGTCGGAAGACATTTTTAACTTTTCAAGGAACTGTCATACTGGTTTCCACAGTGGCTATTCCATTTTATTTTATTTTATTTTATTTATTTATTTTTTTTTAAAAGATGACCGGTAAGGGGATCTTAACCCTTGACTTGGTGTTGTCAGCACCACGCTCAGCCAGTGAGCGAACCGGCCATCCCTATATGGGATCCGAACCCGTGGCCTTGGTGTTATCAGCACCGCACTCTCCCGAGTGAGCCACGGGCCGGCCCAGCTATTCCATTTTACATTCCCACCAGCAATGCACTAGGGTTCCAGTTTTCTCACATCCTTGCCAACACTTGTTATTTCCTTTTTTTTTTTTTAAAAGATGACTGGCAAGGGGATCTTAACCCTTGACTTGGTGTTGTCAGCACCACGCTCTCCCAAGTGAACTAACCGGCCATCCCTATATGGGATCCAAACCCGTGGCCTTGGTATTATCAGCACCACACTCTCCCGAGTGAGCCATGGGCTGGCCCCTGTTTTGGTTTTCTTTTGTTTTTTAGAGGCCGTCTGTATTTAATCAGGGTTTTCCAGAGAAACAGAACTAATAGTGTACTTCAAAAACTTTGTGGAAGGGGCCGGCCCGGTGGCGCACTGGATAGTGCGCCGCTTGGGAAGCGCGGCGGCGCTCCCGCCCGAGGGTTCGGATCCCACATACGGACCGGTTCCCGCTCACTGGCTGAGCGAGGCGCGGGAGCAACGCCGAGGGTTGCGATCCCGTTGCCGGTCCCCGGTCCGGTACGGGGGCAACACTGAGGGTTGCGATCCGTTGCTGGACACGGAAAAAGACAAAAGACAAAAAAAAAAAAAAAAAAACTTTGTGGAAGGGTCGGCCCGTGGCTCACTTGGGAGAGTGTGGTGCTGATGGTGCCATGGCCACGGGTTCAGATCCCTATATAGGGATGGCCCCACAGATTCTAAATCCATTTTTACCTGGAGCAAAGGACCAAGCTGAATTGGGTACATCCTGTAACTGCCTCTGGTAGGAAGACAAACTCAGCATTTCTCCTGCCAGGCCATTTAGACAGGCCTTTGGCCTCCCCATGTCCTCAGGTCTGGGTGCCAAGAGGCAGCCTTGCCCAAGAATCTAGGTAACTGCCCTGCTCACCGTGCCCTGTAATCGGAAGGAGGGGGCATCTACACTCCAACAGCTGCTCTTCATGCTTCTCTCTTCTGGGTACACCCTGCCTGGACTCCACCAATAGCCATAAACATTCTAACTCAGAGCCACACCACTCTGAACTACTCAGCAAAGACTGAAAAATCAATAAGACTTCTGTAGAATCTCTTCCCTTTCCAATCTGCAAAGCTAATCCTTATGTCTATCACCTACCCCACCTATTGCTGAGACAGAATAGGGCTAGGCCTGTGAACCAAACTGACTCCATTTTCCCCGCAAAGGACATTTTGTTACTTTTCCACTCCTCAGTCATGAGACCCCCCCAGGGCACATGATTACCCCATGGCCCACCCTGATAAAATAAACTAAGAGGGGAACAGATACAGAGTTGCAAAACCCCTCCCAAGGCTTGTTTCCTGTAATTAAAAAAATTAAGTTACAGATTAACCCTAAAACCCCTTTAGGAGTTTCCCCATGTGCACAAAGCTTCAAGGTGACTGCTACAATGACCTTTCTGGGGTGATGATAATGAACACCTCCACTGTCTTGGACCTACTGATCAGGTGTAAGCACCAAAGCCCTAACTGAGCATGCGCCTGTGACACAATGAGGCAGAACAGAATGGACCACTTTATTTATTTATTTATTTCCTTTTTGTCTTTTTTCGTGACCGGCAACGGGATCACAACCCTCAGTGTCGCGCCCGCACCGCGCTCAACCAGTGAGCGGACTGGTCTCTATATGGGATCCGAACCTTCGGCAGGAGCGCCGCCACGCTCCCAAGCACCGCACTCTACCGAGTGCGCCACCGGGCCGGCCCCAAGAATGGACCACTTTCAGAGGTGCAGAATGATGAAGCTGGCCTGCACCCCTTAACCCCTTTCCCTATAAAGGACCCTGAGCAGCTCCCCTCAGGGAACTGTCTTTCGTTTAGCTACCCCCCCCATGCATAAGTCTATCTCTTTTTTTTTAATAAAGCATTACTTACATTACTGCTGGGTACATTGTTCATTTCTATGACTTTGGGACCCAAGAGCCTAATTCAGTTATGTTATCAGCCTGGGCAAATATTTAGCACACAGATCTTGCCTCCTCCACTGCCTTGCCCTTGGCAGACCTGACTAGTTGATCACAGAGTTCTTTCCAGGTGGGCTCCTGTGCAACCACTAGCTATAGATCAGAGAGGAAACCTATTTGCCTCCTAATGAAAGTCAGGTCTAAATTATTGAAGAGGCAAATCTGGTTCTAAGGAAAATAGCCAATGTTTGCAATGAATTCCCTCATCTATGCTGTGTGTAGGGAGACCGATTCCAAGAATATATTTTCTGTTTGACCAAGTAAGGGGAAGCCTCAGGAGACCTTGAAAAATAACTGACCTGGAACTGGCAGTCCTGCTCTGTTCTGGGCAAAACAATTAACTTCCTCATTCTGAACATGGGTTACTGTGCATGTTAATGATGTTAGGTAGGTGAGTGTGATAAAGCACCATTCACAATTAAGGGAAGAAAGAAATCCAGAGACACTCTTATGTGGTTTGTATGGGGGGCCACAGGGAGCTGTCCTTAGAACCTGGAGAGTGTCATCCCTGGTGGCAAAAGCAGTAAGAAGGGCTGGCTGGTTAGCTCAGTTGGTTACAGCATAGACTTGTTAACACCAAGGTTAAGGGCACTGGCTGGGAGCCCCCCCCCCAAAAAAAAAGCAGTAAGAAAGTAGGTGACAAAAAAGCTTAAGGGGGGCCGGCCCGTGGCTCACTTGGTAGAGTGCGGTGCTGATAACACCAAGGCCCGGGTTCGGATCCTATATAGGGATGGCCGGTTTGCTCACTGGCTGAGCGTGGTGCTGACAACACCAAGCCAAGGGTTGAGATCCCCTTACCGGTCATCTTTTAAAAAAAAAAAAAAAGCTTAAGGGCTGCAGGTATGACTGATCCACGTAGTCTATGCAGATGGCTACTGGGCACTGATACCTACGGGAACTGTCCCTTGGCACCTGGATTACTTCCCATTTCAGGTGCTTCTCATGGCAACCCCTTCTACTGCTCGTCCAGGCTGTCACACACCTCCACCACTCTCAGTCTCCCAACTCTGCATCTCCCTCACTCTCTGCCTCCTACTTACAGAGAAAATAGAGGCCACCAGGCGGGAACCATCACAGCTCCTGCCTCCCAGGACAGGAGGTGAGTGTTCTCCAGTCCAGGGCTCGGATCCCTTGGCATCTAGGGTCCCAGCTACCTCTCGTCATCACTGTCCTTCCCTGGCATCTTCAGACTCACTTCTGCCAGCTCCCTTTCTTCAGCATATACATTTGCTAAGAACATTTCCAGCTTAAAAACAAAACAAAACCAAACCCAAATCCCAAAAGCCCTCCTTCCGTTTAGCATCTCCCATCTTCCTTCTCCTTGGGAGAGAAGCCTACATGGGCTGTCCCCTCCTTGTCACCTCCCAGCCTTTCCTCCACCGCTACTGGGCTCCGCCTTCCCCACTCCAGCCTGCTCACCATCTGGTAAAGGAATGAGGAAACGGCCCCTCCCAAGGTCACCGATGGCCTCTCGATTGCCAGTTCCATAGGACATCTTTTATTTACTTGTCTGCTTTTAGCTTCCCTGCTGTGGGCCATCTGGAAGCCTCACTCCTGGGACATCTCCCCCTTTCTAGGACTGCACATTCTCGGTCTCCTCTTCCTCAAGACTCTTAGATGCAGGTGGCCCCTAGAGTCTCATCAATGACCCCTCCTCATAGGACACTGTGTCCTTGAGCAATCTTATCAGACCCATACTTCTACTACTGCCTCTATGCTGAGAACATTTAGAAGTAAGCAATATGTCAAAAA